CTTTAAGGTTGAATAAGCTTTTCGCGAAGAATCCAAGGTTGAGACGGGTGTTTTTGACATTTTTTTGGGTACAATTCTATAACAATCCGTCGTGCCAGTATTCTTCCGGTGGTGATTCCGGCAACCTTGTGACGGCGTGGAAGTAGTGGAATTCGATCCCAGCAGGGAATATTTACCTTTTGCCAGCGGCTCTTGATGCCGCTCCCAAAATTTATTCGGTTAAACTAATTAATATGTATGTAGGGGTATACTTAGAAGTTTATGTCAAAACTTGGTTGAGTTTGACCAAAATTAAATTCTTGTATCTTACAATTTATGTTTTCTTACCGCATTCAACTTAATATCTAAAAAGAATATATATATATATATATATATATATATATATAGGATTATTCCATGATTGTGATATCGGCCTAGAGAGCATAGATGATCCCGGAAACGTAGCCGATGATCGTCAAGAACATGCAGATGAAGAGCTCAACCTGCCCAAATAGAGATTAGGAACCAAAAAAAATTAAGCAAATTTTTGTTCCGAATTTGATTGAAATTAATGTAAGAGGGAAAAAATTAGGGAGGTGAAGCCATCATCTTGTCTACGCAAAGATTGCCTCCTGCTCTGCCAACGTTGCCACAAAAATCTTTTCATTTAGACCGCTTTGTGAATTAATTCGTAATCGATTATATAGTCTGCCTTGATTCCGTTATTTTCCAAAATCATCTACCGCGAATTATCCCCGAAATTCATCCATCATCTAACCCTGCATTCGTTTTGGCTACTCTTGCCGTGAGAATGAATCTTAAGGATGTACTCCCTCCGTCCTATAAGAATTTTCTAGTCTAGTTTAACCAAAATGAAAGAATTTATTTTTTGGTCAAACTTAAGAATATTTTGGCTAAACTTCTAGATATACCCCTCTATGTAATTGTTTAGCCGGCAAAAAAAAGTTATGGATTTATAAAGACTAGTAATGGTTCTGCTAGAGTGTCGGTGGATGGAACTTCGGTGACTTGGTGAAGACCCGCTACTGGATCTAAGTCGGTGCTGAAGACTTATCGCCGGGATTTGCAGGAGTTCGGATCCGACCTTCAGAAGGAAACTGAAATCATTCGCGAGCCCATGGATCTCTGAAATCATCCCCATATTCAATTGAGTTTGGGGCGTCGGTAGCCCATGGATCTCTAGAATTAGTTAGCCAAGCCGTCGATGGGGTCATCAAATCCACCGTTAGGATCATCTTTGAAGAGGCCACGGCGGCGACGGCGGCGCAATGGCGCGGCGGCTGAGAAGCTTCCTGGGTGGGATTTCTCTCTGGCTTTTCTTGCCGCGAAGATAGAGCCGGTGAGAATGATGAAACTTGTGCTGTTGTTGTTGTTCTTGTTGCTCAGCACAAAGGGAATTCGTATATGGAATGAGAAGAAAAAAAAATAATAAAATCGTGATGAAAAATCTTTCTCTATTTTATGGGTTAGAAAAGAATTAAATCTTAAGCAGACATGAAAGGAGTATTGCGTTGGGCCGGGCTTGAATGAATTGAGTAAATGCACTCTCAGAAGTTGAAATCGATACACATGATACTAATAGATTAAAGGACAATTGTGTAATTTAATCTATAAAAAGTCAAATTGGACAACAATTTTGAGACAAAATTTTTTTGCCAAAATAGACAATAATTATGGGACGGAAGGAGTACGATTCACGAACTGAGCGGGTTTGCTGCTGACTCATGATGGTAAGATTGTATTTTTTGTTCCCAGCAAACGGTTTTGCTGCTGTTGGCGTAGCAATGAAGCCAGGGATGTCGGAGTCACGAACCCAAAGGATATGTTGGTGATTCAATTTGGTTTTGGTATGATCAGATTTTTTTTTCATTTATTAGAACAAATCCTTTCAATTTAAAATTTATAATTTTATTATATGCAATTTTTGTTCCCATATATTCTTTTCTGAAATTGAAAAGTGGCACTTATCCTTAAATAAAAAATCTTCGCTACTGATAATTTCCATCAATCATGGGAACAAGGTTAATTGGATCCTTCTCGGGGATACATTAACCCTAACAAGTTTAATTGCATCAAGATTAAGATTAAGTAAGCTAAACAAAACAAGCAAATTGGAATGTAGGCTAAAAGGGCATCAATCCGCAGAAAGCAGGTTTGGATATGGTGAAATTGGGTCACCATCTTACTATATCATTTGATTTATTTTTATAAATAAATATAGCAAAAAATATGACAATTTATTTTTATCTTAAATCAAGGGATTTTCTTTCTTTTTTTTTTTTCGGTGCACTGAACCAACAAACTAATATTAAACAGACACATAATACATCCAGGCTAATTCTTCTTGATTTGAAGGTTAATATTTCTCATTCGATGTAAATTGAAAAAAATCGTTTAACCGCTGGTCGAGGGTTTCACCATCGCTACATTCACAATCTTAAATTTTTCCTGATTATTTATCCCTTCTGTCAACGGTAAATACCATACAAATATTGTCTAAGAAAAAAAATATTTTTTAATTATTCGTTCATATTCAAAATTTAACCACGCAACTATAAAGAGTCCAAAACGATAACGAGAAATTATTCAGTGCAGCTGTTGTATCACGTAGTATTGTACAACAAGACACAATAATAGGATAAAGTAGTAATTTTGGGGAGAGAGAAATAATTTCTACGGGAGTTATACCACCAAAATAGGGGTACTAGTACTTGTTATACTAAAAACCAGGGTATAGCAGTTGTATCTAATACAATTTTTTGGCGATAACAACTATTTCGCCATTTGATCTAATCATTGTCGGTAGGCTTTATCGAATTCATGCGTAATCGAATTCACGTCTAAAAAGTTGTTTTTATCGAGTCGGTTAATCAGATATGCTTCACCGAATTCATGCGTAACGCACCTCGATTGGCTATAACATTATCTCACAACGGTGGAGATCGTAATCGATGACAACTACTCCCTCCGTCCCATAATTATTGTCCAGTTTTACTAAAATGAAAGATTTTATTTTTGGTCAAATTTAACTATATTTTATCTTAAACAACCGGATATACCCCTACATAAGTAATTGTTTAACCATTAAGATTTTATGGATAATGTTTTCTGCTAAGGACAAATGTGTAACTTGATCCATAAAAAGTCAAATTGGACAATAATTTTGAGACAAAATTTTTTGGGCAAAGTGGACAATAATTATGGGACGGAGGGAGTATTAGATATGGAGGAGTTGATTGCCAATTTTTTTGCTCAATTTGTTTAGCTTTTCAAAAATATTTTTCTTTCACATTATAATTTGTGAATTATTTATATTAAAAATTGAGAACAGTTTAATACTTTTACTGCAGAACTTGACTCGCCGAATTGAAGATGAATATTCCTACTTCCTAGAAGGCCAGAACGGTAGATTGTATGGGTAATATATGCAAGTGTACCACGTAATTCTTTTTTTTTTTTTTTTTAAAGCTTCAAATCTCGAGTTCATTATATCATTTTGTTGAGTTGCACTATCAAATCAGAATACTGTAAAAGCTATAGGATATATAGATATTCAAATATATGTGTAGCAATGATTTGTATCACTATTCCAGAGTCCAAATCTATGTTATTCAAAATTCAAACAGAAGCATGCAAACTTCAACTTTTGTATTTGTTACTTCAATTAGTAGGGTACGCTTTGTTATTGTGATCTGTGTAGTTTTGGATGATTTGCATCTACATTCAGTTAAAAAAAAAAAAAGATTAAGAGTCTCCTTGAAATTAAGTCCTTATCATGTTATTTTTCATGAATCCATTGAAAAGAAAATGTCTCAAGAACTGAAAATATTAATCTATAGTACTTACTTAAAGCATCAAACACAAAGGACACGTGTCAGCTCCAGGATTAAAATTTTCCCTCCAAAGCTTCTCAGCGATTCTCAGTACAAAACAGAATCAACGAGAATACGCCACGTGGCTTCATATATAGTCGGAAAATTTCAGTTGTGATTCCATTTTCAAATGAACAAATTCAATTTAAATATTTAAATTTGAAATCTTTATTTTAGGGAAGAAACTAATTATTCACGTGTGGCAATAAGTACTGTTTAAATTTTCCTAGAAAACAACAGTAAAACTGGTTTGTGTAACTGAATTAAATAGTACGTATCGATCACAAAATAGGAACTCAAAAAAAGAGTCCATAAATATAAAAAACATATTCAACCTAAATAAACTAAATTGGCGGATTGGGGTATTAAGATGTGCTCCTCAAAACTATATTTCCACCAGTATAGTCATCCCAGAAGTATAGTCAACACGTTTTTCAGCCTTAAATTCCTGTGTTCAAAAAAGAAATGATCACATCTTATCCCTTATTTAATGGGATAATATAATCAGTGAACAGAATATGTTGACATGCACATTGTGTGTAGAAAATCACGATATCATTCAATTTAGCACAGTAACTTATGGAAATTGTAATGCATTTAAAACTCTAAGGATTCATATCAAAGAAATTATTCTAGAAATCAAAAAAATCAATCAACTGAAATTTTGCACACACGTATGTATCTGCAAGCTTTCTGTGCATATCATCAAGCACTTTCCAAGCACACAACAAATAAAAAATATTTGCCTTTCAGTAACCATTATCACAAGTTAATCTTCACAAACATATTGTGAGCCAATGCCCAACCTGCATAAATACATCTATTATCCTCATATGATCCTTCAGCATACCTTTCCTCCAATTCGCAAAAACCAGATTTGTTTTGCACAAACGTATATATCTGCAAGCTTTCTGTGCATATCAACAATCACTTTTCAATCACAGAACACACAAAATATTTGCCTTTTTGTACCATTATCATCCCAAATCAATTTACACAAATATACTATATTAGACAATATGTTACCTGTATAAATACAGCCAACATCCTCACATATCCTGCACCAGACAATTCCTGCAATTTGCAAATCTCAGATTTTCAGATTCTCATATTACCCATATCTTACTAATGGCTGAAACAAACCAAACTGCAATTTCAGTTGTTGAACCTGAAGATTTTGTTGAAACTGTGAATAAAAATGTTGTGGATAATCCAATTGTCATCCCATCTGAAGATGTCATTGCTACACCACCAAATGATGTTGGTGCTACAGGTGTACCCATACATGCTGCACAAAGATACATCGTTGACATCAATGGATTGATTGATACAAAAAGCAACCATTTCACCATAGTTGTCAAAGTGATGACACTTTGGGAGGTTCCAGAAGTATCCAAAAAAAACAAAGTCAAGTATGTTGAGATGTGTTTGATCGATGCTCATGTATTCACTTTTCCACCATAATTGGTTTTAGAGTTTTCTCATGGACAAACCAGTTAAACTGTAGTATATGTTATTAACTATTTGTATATATATATATATATATATATATATATATATCAGGGAAGCAAAATTCAAGTAACCATTCCTAGAAGAATTGTGAAAGATTTTGCAAATTCTTTCAAAGGTTGTGTTAGACGATTATCAAGATTTGACAGTTGTCTCAATATTAGTGGGGGGTTCAGGTGTGCTAAGCACGAATACAAAATTGTGTTCATGTCAAACACAAGTGTTGAAGCTGCATTTAATTTTGACATCCCAGATCATGTGTTTGAGTTCACACCATTGGCTGAAGTTACAAACTTTGTGGCCAACTTTGATTATTATTTTGGTGAGATGATTTTAAAGTTGTTGTAAAAGTTCCTTATAAAATTTGTATAAAAAGTTTAAAATATTTTCAACTATGCAGATTTGATAGGACACATCATGGCATACAGCGATCCAATTGTTGAAAATGGAAAGAAGAGGATTTCAGTGGAGCTTGAAGATGAAAGGTCAATGTTATTTGAAATTTTACAGTCTAAACAGAAATTATTCATATTGGATTATACTGAAAGAATTAAAACAATTGTACTAAAAAAAGTCTTCTGTTTTGCAGGGCTGACAAGCTAAAGGTTACTTTATGGGGTGAACATGCCGATCAAGTCACTAAATACATGTCTAACAATCCTCCGTCTCCTGTGGTTCTCATTGTTCAATATGTTAAGTGCAAAAACTACTATTGTGAGTACTCTTTAGTGACTTATATGTAACTCGATATACTCATATTAAATTCAAGTTTTTGTAATTGCTATAATCTGAGATGTAATTTTTTCACAATGTAACAGCAAAAGCTTCTGTTACTACTAATCTTTTCAATGGGAAAATATATCTTGATGATATGTCAATACCCGACATATCAGAGTACAAAGACAGGTATAATTATTGTTATAACTGCTATAATTATCATCATATAGTTGCATAATTACTGTTTTATTCATAAGTATTGTTTCTGTATCAAACAGTTGCATAATTGCATAATTACTATATATATTTTCATAACAGAAATCTCACTATATAATTCCATTCACCTTGAATGTAAAAGTCTCACATACCATATAGTTTCATAATTACCGTTTTATTCATATTGTAATTATATAGTGACAGTATATACAGAAGTAGTGCCAATGAAACGAAAGCTGAAAGTATCCAAAAAATTTCAATGCTTTCACAGGGTTCTGGATACGCATCTTATGAAGAATTCATAAATGGAGCAAAACTTTTGTCATTGGGTGACATAGATGATCTTGATGAGGTAATATATTAATAGTGATAATTATTTTATCCTTTGCGTATGTAACTATGTTATCTCCATGATCTATGAATGGTTAAACATATGAAAACTATATTTTTTCAGGCAGGGTATGTTGTGATTTTTGGTAAGATCATAGGCTTAGCAAAAGAGTATGAATGGTCATACATTGGTTGCAGAGATTGCAACAAGAAGGTGGAGGAAATTGAAAAAGACAAAGGTACCCGTATTGTACCATCAACAAAAGGAAGAAATACCAGTGACAACAAGAAATTTGGTCTTGAGAAAAAATGGTTTTGTGGTAATCATGGCCCTTTGTCTGCTGTTGGTCCAAAGTATGTTTCAATAATTTACAATCTCTTTTTGTAATTACAATATTAAATAATATGTTGTTATCAAACTTTTTAGTATGTTACTCTGTTATAAACTATTTTCCTCCATGATTTTATGAATAGGTTCAAGTTACAAGTGTATGCAATAGATGCTACTGGCAGCAAAATTTTGACCCTTTGGGACAGGGTGGTCTACAATTTTATCAATAAGTCTGCAGAAAAACTCCGTAAACAGGTTTTATTCATTGTTTTTAATGTGTACATTTTATTACTAAAACTTTTTAATGTTTTTTCTTATGACCATCATCATGTATCCAGGCAGGAAAAGATTACCCTAAAGTACTAGATGAGATTGTTGGCAAGAAATGTCTGTTCAGGTTGGATGTCTCTAGATACAATATCAGGAATAGTAGTAGTGAGATTTCTATTGCTAGGCTTACTACTGATGCTGAAATGATCAAGAAGTACATTGATGATGTTTCTGAAGATCAGGTTTGTTCTCTTTTTTATATGGTCATATACAGTTTAATAGATTTGTACTTGATTTAAAGAAGATGCACATGATAATCTAAGTTTATTCCTATATTATAAACAGGAAATTGATCCGGAGATGTGTGCAGAGTTTTACCAAAATTTGACACCTACCCAGGATAGCACCGCCAAGATATAATATACACAACAAATATATTTACTTTATTTAAAATAGCAATATTTCGATGACACTCACATGTTTCATTGTTTGCAGACTGCAGTATCCTGCACTGGAGATACAGAGATAGGGAATTTGGCCGATGACATGGCTGACAGTCCTCCTCCAAAAAATAAAAGTGCAGGAAGTTGCGGTGAAGACAGTGTCAAATCCAATACCAACAAACGTGTCAGAAAACTTTGATGTCGATGAAAGCACTTGCTACTTCCTGCTTTAACAATAAACATATACTTTTAGTTTTTTAAGGTGTTCCCTATAGCCAGAATTGTTATTCTGATGAAACATTTTTCTTATTACAGTCTACTCAGTACCATTATACTGTTTTGGTGCTGTAGATATTTAATTTCTTTTGGTATTTGAGCATTCCAGTTTTTTCATGATTAATATCTACTATTATTCGGTTTAATGACATTTTATTTTTACCGATGTGTTAAAAGTATTTATAAATGTCATTGCTAGAATATGACATATTCAGAAGAAGTACATTTACTTTTGCAGTTGCTTTTATAAACAATAAGTTACCTTTTGAGTAGTAGTTTATGAAATACAAACAGGAAGGTGAAAAGATTCCTGTGTCAATATGCAGTCATAAGAGTTATAACCAAAGAAGTGTACTACTATAAAAGATTAGTACAGTTATTATAAATATAGAAAATGGTTTGAAGAAGAAGGGGTGTCTGTTGGTTGCTACCATTGAATCCTGAAGTTAAATAAATGAAAGTACATAGAAGGAAGGAGAAAATGAAGATGAAATCACAGTGAATTGGCAATTTACTTTTATTTTTATAGGAACGGAAATAATTTTCATTTTAACGTTGAATTATCAGACATCAATTACTGTTATAGTAAAAGTCAATGTATTCTGTTTTAAGAGAGTTTAAATGAATAAGAAACACAATACTTCTCCAGTTCCTAAAAAAGTGCAGATTCATTGTAATCCTGTTTTTTTGTGGATTTGAAACGATGTTAAATACAGAGCATGTTATTATTCTTTATAACTTTCCCGATTCTTTTAAATCCCAATTTTTTAGGGATTATCTTCAATTGTCATAAATAGGAGATAATATGTATGGTGATTTATATACACTTTTCCAGGCAAATCGTCATTACAGATCAAATTTCCATAACAAAAAAACTATACTCCATAAGCCCTTTTTATATTCATATAGCATATAGACTTTGATATCATCATACAGACTGCATTGAAGTAAACAATGGAAGAGGCTTATGATCAATTGATTAGTGTTCTAATAAACATTCGCAGAAAAGGATTGGTAAGTCCTTTATAATGTTCTAATTGTAAACAGATTGATTATAAAAATACTTTTTAGTATGTTACTCTGTTATAATCCTTACTGACAACCAGTTTTATGTACATTATTAGATTCTTAGCAGTAACTTAGCTTCAGTCCTGAGGCATGTTGGTAAAGAGATCAAGATTGATTTCCAGGGAAATCGATATTTCTATGCAAATATCCATATCACTAGGAAGAGGAGATGTCAGTTATACGGGTCTGCACTGGAAGCTTTTTTCCAGGAGTTTGGAATATCTTCCAGATCCAAAATTAACTTAGTTTATCACAGATCATTGAATGTGTTACAGTTATTTCATTTTAATTATGATGGATGTGAAAGGATTCACCCAGATGTCAATGCAAGAACTGGTAACCGCTATCTGTTGAGATTAGATCATGGTACATCCAAACAAGCTGTAAGTTATTAGTGTTATTAACTTTTATAATTCCTTTGTTTTTTGTTATTTACCTTAGTACTTTACACTAAAGAACTATTGAGAATCTGTATATAACTGGACTAATCATAAGGATTTCATGGTTTTCAGGCTATTAAAAAATGTTTCTTTAATGGTATTGATTGGCCTTCAAATCAAACTACAGCAAAGTGTGTTGATGTTAAGCGCAATCAATGGGAGTTCATGATCATGAAGGAAAATAATGAACCAGTAGGTTTTGAAGGCCGGATGTGGGAGGAGTTTCATGACTATTATTATAACAGAATAAAATGTGTGAATGTAATTGTTATTTACACTGGAAATTTGTATTTCTATTTAAGGCTTTTTAACAATGAAGGTTACTACTGCAACCTAGATATCGTTGATTCAGATACATCTGAAGGTTTGTACCTACTGTTTTTCTTATAATTAATTCACTGAATTCAAGTAACATTATTATCATAATACATATTCTAATACTAATATTAATTTATATTCAGGTGAAGTTGACACACTGGACTATCTATGCAGCAACGGTGATCCTAACACATTTTCTGCAGTCACGACTGACACTGTAATCCACCATGGCAGATTGGTGATAAAATGTGTTTCATAGTAGTTTACATCCACTAGGAATTAGATGAAATTATTCAATTATAAATAATTTTTTAATCATATTGCAGGAGATACCCTGGCATATAGTACGCCGATTGAAGTTAGATGACTACACAAATGCTATTTTATACTATGATGGAGTTCTAGTAATTAACATGCATCGAGTTGTCACTAATGACAATCCACATCGGTTTGTTATTGAAGGTGATATAAAGTACATGGTGGATTTGAAGAAAATACCTTTAGGTATAACTTTAGGGTTCCGTATAGATGCTCGCAAGGCATATAATTAAGAGTATCTGATTATAGAAGTCCTGTAAAAGTCACTATCTGGTATTTTTTATTTAATTCATATGAAAATAATTCAATTTTTAAGTTTTCTTATAACATATCTTTTTAACGTGACTATTTTATTTTATATACACTCACAATGTGTACAAATTATCCACAGCATTTTCAATTGGATTATACACTAACAACGTATTTTAGTCAATTATATACAATGACACTAAAAAAAATTAGACTGTGAGTAAATAACTTGTAATCAAATTGAGTTAAAAAATTATCAAAATACGAAAATCAATATAAAAAAAAATATTCTGGTATTTTTAAAAAAGAATACAAATGTACAGTCAGAAATTATTGTGGATATAAAATAAAAACAACTTGATATGCCATAATTGAACAAGTATATCAGATTCCATTTTTTTAGGATGACAATATTATAATTAATCATATATATTTGATAGACACAAAAATTTTAGCCATATATAGATCAAATTTATCAAAACTCAAGATACTATTTCACAAGTACATTCACAATCATTATATACTATTATGTTTTGAATCAAAGAGTTGTGTGAATTACTTTTACATCTACTTTCAGAAAATTTCATAATGGTAAATTGTTCTGCAAAAGAAGCAAGATTGTTCATGAAAGATTTATTAAAAGCAAAAAGGTTGTCGCTTCAGTCACGCAGAAGAAATAAGCAAACAATGGTGATTTCTACAGTTCACATCAATGATGCTGTCACAGGTAAAGATGCAAGATTTACCAGGAAACAGATTTTGAAAGGTCAGTTAGATGAAGGTATGCATTCAGATACGTTACAAATTCAAAAGCATTTGGTAAATCTACCCAAAGTGGACCGTATCAGTGCTAAACATTCAAGGATGATAAGAAAAAATAAATTATACCAGATCAGAACGCATAAGAAGTTGAAATTTCACAAATCTGTTGTTCAGAATTCGATAACACCATCAAAAATTGTTCTGTATCAGATGGTATGTTTTCATATATAAATGTGCAGATAATTATATCTGTGTCAGTTTCATATAATTTCATACATATATTTGTCTATTTTTCCTAAATTATCTGAATACATTACATCTCTGTCTTCATGATTGGTTAGGAACTGTTAACAACTCAAGATCCAACAAGAAGGAAATAATGGACAAAAAGAGAGGCAAACCCATTAAAGAAAAGCAATCTGTTATTATTAGAGGTGGTGTTTTTATATGTGATTCATCTCAGATAACAAACAATATATCAGTCAATGATACTTCACAAGTCCGTTCAAATTACAGATAGAGTACTCAGCGCAGTTTTCAGATGAATAAATTGCAAACAACAAATTGTACAAATGAAACAAATTCATCTGGTATGTCTACAAGAGAATTTTTTTTTATGAGTTGTGTAATTATATAGTTTATAATGATGACATACCTTTAAATTTACTATTTCGGAAATACTGAGTATGCAGGAGTCACCACTGCAGCTGACGTCATCTTGAATGAAAATCAACAAGCTCCACAAAAAAGCGTTTCCACAAGGAGGAAGAATACATTGCATCCTGGAAAATGTAAAATTAATCAGAAGAACTTATCATACATAAATACATGTATTATCTTTAATTAATTGCAAACCTCAGTTAAGTACATTACTTTATATAGTTTAACAGGAAATCACATATGTTATTAACATATTTGTTAAAATCTGTAGAATATCATGATTTGAGAGATCCAATATATGTATGAGAATTCTGCGACGCTAATATGTGGTACGAAGAAAGGGTCAACAAACAGCGAAAACCGTTAAAGCCTAAATTCTCAATTTGTTGCATGCAAGGCAAAATACATCTACCCCTATTGCAGGAACCCCCTACTCAGCTTAAGGAGTTGTTTATGTCAAATAATGCAAAGAGTAAACATTTTTTGGAGAACATCCGAGCATATAATAATATGTTTGCCTTTACATCTATGGGTGGTAACATTGTAAGCTCAATAAATGATGGTCGTGCACCCTATATATTTAAAATGCAAGGTCATAATAGCCATCTAATGGGCAGTCTACTACCAGAAGATGATTTGAGGCTAAAATTTTCCCAGTTATACATTTATGATACTCAAAATGAAATCAGTAACAGAATCAGAGCTTTCAGGTATGTTTAACAGTTTTTATAACAGTTCAAATCCTTAGTTTATGTTTCACAGTATTATTATAGACATAATATTTACACACTACTGATCAAATGTAATTGCAGTTCAGAGCAGAGTAAAAAACAAGCTAAACTTCTTGATGCACAGATTGTTAGTGACATACAGATTGCAATGGATGAACACAATGTGTTGGTTAAAAACTACAGGAAGGTACGTGACACCCTTCAGGGCAGATTCTTCAGTAGAAATCAGACTCAAATTAATTTCAACTAGAGATACGGATGGTAGAACACATAATCTACCAACCGTCGATGAAGTTGCAGCTATACTACCTGGCGATGAAGGAAACGAATCTGAAACACGAGATATCATTGTTCAGTACAAGTCTGGAGAATTGCAGCGTATCAATGAGCTACATCCTTCATATGTATCACTTCAATATCCATTGATTTTTCCATATGGTGAAGATGGTTTCAGAATAAACATAAAACTTGGAGATCCAGAAGATTCAGAAGGTGAAGATGATGATGAAATTGATGATACTGATGGTGTTGAAGAAGAGTATAAAGGACCACGAAAATGGATGAGTCTCCGAGAATGGTTTGCATTTCGTATACAAGATAGAAACCAGGATTATTCAATGTTGTTATATGCTCAGAGACTTTTCCAGTAATTTTTAGTGGATGGATACAGTGCAGTTGAATCAGGAAAAATATGTTGGATAAAAAAAATCAAAGAAATTTGCGCTGTGAAACATATGAAAACATGAGAAAGACACTTTTAAAGGGAAATCAAGATGCTTCAAATGTTGGGAGAGTTATAATGCCTTCTTCATTCACAGGTGATGATAGATGGAAAAGAGAAAATTACATTGATGCAACGACAATTTTTAAAACTTATGGGTATCCCGATGTTTTCTTAACCTTCACGTGTAACAACAAATGGCCAGAGATAACTAGGTATTGCAACAGCAAAGGGCTTAGGCCCAAAAATAGACCAGATATTGTTACGAGGGTGTTCATGATGAAGCTAAACTGCATGATGAAATTTATTAAAGACAAAAATATATTTGGCAGACAGGAAGCAAGTACATTTTTTTCTGCACTTTAGTATTTTTTACTATATAATTTCTTTTACATTTATAACTTTAACTAACTTATGAAGAATGTATTTTGTCATATTATACAGCTGTATACACTATAGAGTATCAAAAAAGAGGGCTCCCACATGCACATATAGTTATTTGGTTACATCGAGATGATAAGCTATCAAAACCTGAAGATATCGACAATTTCATATGTGCAGAGCTCCCTGATAAAAATGACCATCCTGTTTTATACAACATTGTAACAGAAATGATGATTCATGGTTCATGTGGTGATGATTTCTCCTATAGTCCTTGCATGGTTAAACAGCAATGTTCAAAAAGGTTCCCTAAAAAGTTCAAAGAAACTACAAGTAGTGGTGAAGATGGTTTCCCTGATTACAGGAGAAGAGAAGATGGCAGGACATTTGAAAAAGACGGTTCAACTATAGACAACAGATGGGTTGTTGGTTACAATCCAGTGTTGACTCTTAGGTATCATGCACATATAAACGCCGAATGGTGCAATCAAGCAAGTGCTACAAAATATCTTTTCAAGTATTTGAATAAAGGTTCTGACAGAGTTTGTTTTAAATACACTGTCAATGATGAGATAATTAGGGAACAATTGGATAAAGGTCCAAAAGATGAGGTTAAAGATTGGTACGAAGGAAGATATCTGTCAGGTTGTGAAGCTGCATGGCGTATGTTTTCATTTCCTATACACTACAGGTCACATCATGTTGAACGTCTAAGTTTTCATATGCCTGGTCAACAGAATGTTGTCTATGATGAGGATCAAACTGTTGAAACTATTGTCATCAGGGCATCCAACAGGCATTCACAGTTTACTGCTTGGATGGAAGCTAATTCCATTTACCCTGAAGGTAAAAGTCTCACAAACATCAATTTTCTAAAATATTTTGTGTGGAAAAAGAAAGAAAAGAAATGGACCCCAAGACAAAGAGGCTCAAGTATTGGTAGAATTCATAGAGTCCCTATAGCTGCTGGTAAACCTTACTACCTAAGGGTTCTAGTTAACATAGTCAAAGGTCCTACATGTTACGAAGATATCATGACAGTAAATGAAACAGAATATTCAACATTCAAAGAAGCTTGCTTTGCAAGAGGGTTACTTGATGATGACAAGGAATACATAGACTGCATAAAGGAGGGCTCTACATGGGGTTCAACAAATTACTGCAGAAACCTTTTTGCACAATTATTAGAAGGTGCCATTGTGTCGCAACCTGATCATGTATGGAATGAAACTTGGGACTGTTACACAGAAGACATACCTAAAAGATTGAAATGGTTATATAGGAATGAAGGTAATTTGTTTATATTATAATAATTTATATTTGACATATATTTTTAAAATTTATGCATCTAATGTTAATTTCTTGCTTGCTTTCATGTTAATATACAGATTACAATGTTTCTGAAGACGAAATGAAGATGCATGCATTGAAATTATTTTACGATCTCATGGTAAAAGTCTAACGGATTTTCCTGGTATGCCATATCCTGGAGACGTGTTCATTGATGATGGTACAAATCCAATGATCCACGATAAATTAGATTATGACAGATCATTACTGAAAAAAGAACATGATGTTCTTTATTCTAACCTTACTGCCGAACAACTGAAAATCTACAAAGAGATATTGGCTGCGATTCAAAAAGGAAATGGAGGTTTGTTTTTTGTATATGGGTATGGTGGAATAGGAAAGACGTATATGTGGCGAACAATTTCAACTGCAGTACGCAAAGAAAGAAACATTGTACTCAATGTGGCATCGAGTGGTATTGCTTCTTTACTGTTGGTAGGTGGAAAAACAGTTCATTCAAGGTTTCAAATTCCCATCAATGTGACAAATGATTCAACATGTACTATAAAAGCAGGAAGTGATCTATGTGCTTTGGTAACAAGAGCAAATCTTATCATATGGGATGAAGCCCCAATGGTACATAAGCATTGTTTTGAAGCTCTTGACAGATCACTAAAGGATGTACTAAGACGATCTAATCCAAATGCTCTATATCTTCCATTTAGAGGGAAGGTTGTTGTCCTTAGAGGTGATTTCAGACAAATATTACCAGTTGTTCCTAAAGGTAGCAGAGCAGATATTGTCAACTCTGCGATAAACTCATCTCATCTATGGAGACATTGTAAGGTTCTGAGATTGACTGTTAATATGAGATTAGGAAGAGGAAATAATGTGACTGACACTGAGGAGATACGTGAATTTGGAGATTGGTTGTTAAAAATTGGGGAAGGCAAAATCAATGAACCAAATGATGGAGAAGCTGAAATTGTTTTCCTAGATGAAGTCATCATACAGACTCCTGGAGATCCTATAGAAGCAATCGTCAGTATTGTATATCCAGATTTGATCAACAGGTTAAATGACACTGCATGGTTTCGGGAAAGAGCAATATTATGTCCAACCCATGCGGTTGTTGACAAAGTTAATGACTATATGATCGGACTATTGCCCGGTGAAGAACATGAATATCTCAGTTCAGATAGTATGGAAGCTTCAGAACATGGATTTGAAGCTAACCAGGGTATTTACACTCCTGAATTCCTTAACAGTGTCAAAGTTTCTGGGCTTCCTAATCACAGGTTGCTTCTGAAACTTAATGTTCCGATCATCTTACTGCGTAATGTTGATCAAAGGAGTGGACTATGCAATGGTACAAGATTACAGATTATAAGGATGGGACGTTATATCATTGAAGGTAGAGTAATATCTGGTAGTAACATTGGTGACATAGTACCTATTCCTCGGATGAAAATTGTCCCAACAGACAACAATATTCCTTTCAAAATGAAAAGGAGACAGTTTCCTATAGTTGTATGTTTCGCTATGACTATTAATAAAAGCCAAGGACAGTCTCTTTCTACAGTTAGACTATTTCTACCACGACTTGTCTTTAGCCATGGACAGCTATATGTAGCACTGTCAAGAGTAACATCTAAGAGAGGTCTGAAAGTTCTGATTTGCAGGGATGACGGAACAAGATCCAATTCAACTAATGTTGTTTACAAGGAAGCTCTAAGGAATGTTAGGTAAAGTCTTTACTTTACATCTCAGTGGACACGAAAATCATGTTTATGATGTAAAATATTTTCAGTAGAGATTTAATTATTTACCTATTGAATTTCAGTTATGTTTACATGATTTAAACAATTTTATCACTTTCAGAAATATACTATCATCTTACATATATTATACAGATTATATAGAACACATAAACAATTGTAACTTTCCATAATTATTTTGCCAAATGAAAACAGTACATTAACCAACAGATAGGGGTTTCAAATATGAACATATAATATGTTATAAAACTTCATGTATATTTACATCAATCCATAATCATCTTTCTAGGTTGCAGTCCATATCAAAATGAATAAACCATAGATTTGGTAAGAATAAACTTCTTACCTTTGCTGGAGCCGAAGAATCTTCCAGTGACTGTCCCAATAGCAACTCTCGCAGAATGTACCATCTCAGGGTCCATCTACAACATCAGGAAATTTACGCTTCCAAAAAAAAAAAAAAAACCAAGAACAAAAAAACAATTTAAGGTTTGTAAATAAACAAATGTTCCCCTCCATTGTATTCATATAAATAAAAATAAAAAATGATATTACTATAACAAAAAGAAAACCATTACCTGTTAGATCTGAAATCATCGAAGGTTTTTCGATTCGATTGTAACCTCAGATCGGATTGCTGTCTCAGCTCAATAATTAGCTCAAACAATCTAGATATACTTGATTTTTCGTCTACATAGGAAAAGGGAATGTAGATATGGACTTTTCCCCATTCGAATGAAGAATCTTCATTCTTCCCGTTGACATAACCAGCTTCGATTCTAACAAATTTATACTACATCCGCTGTGAAATTCTTTCGCACATGCAGATGTACTAGAAGAGAAATTTGATTCTAGGAAATGGGATGATTTTAGGATAGAAAAATGCTTTGTTTTCTCCGAAATGGTGAAAGATCAAAAATTATACTCTGAGTGAGAGAAGCTTTGTTTTCTCCAAACTGAGATCTAATTTTTCAAACACAGTGTAATATGAGAGACCGGAAGAAGTGGCATCGGTTTCCTAATTTGACATCCATTTCCACTTTTTTTTTATTTAAAAAATTTGGAATAGTGTCTTTTTACTGAATGTCTGGAATTTGGGTTCAAATTGGCAATTATGTTGAGTTGTAAATTATGTTTTGGGCTTGCACAAAAAAATATAATACAAATTGATATTTTTTCTTCTTTATTGTCTATCTAATTTTAAAATAGATAATCAATCAAAGTATTATTAATATATATATTTTTTACTATACTGTGTAAATTTTAATTATTAATAATTTGTATTTGACAATATATCATTTTTTAATGAAACCAATATAGTATTATTTGTATAAATAATTGAACATTTCATATACATATATTGATATATGTCTATAAATAAATTTTTGAAATTCATTTTAATAATTCATTTTGATATACTGGGGCGCCCGGACATAATTACAGAAGTAAAATTATACAAACAATAAAGGGAACCGAAATGAATTGTACTGTCATTGGGCTATTAGTCTAAAATTATCATTTAGACTGTTGATAATTTGTTTTTGACAATATATAATTTTTTAAATGAAACCAATATAGTTTTATTTATATACATAATTGAACATTTCATATAGATATATTGATATATGTCTATAAATAATTTTTTGTAATTCATTTTAATAAATTAAGTTAAAATACGGGGGGCGCCCGGGCATTCGCCCTGGCCAAGTATCTAGTAATTTTACTATAATATTAATTTGTGTATAAAAAAAACTCTATCAATATGAAAATAATTTACATTTCGAATGAAAACCGTAAACAAAAAAATATTTATCATTTTTTATAATCAAATCAAATGATATAGAATACGGGTGAACATATCATCATAAAATAAAAGACATTATTATGCAGCTAAAAATTAATCAATCTTTAAAAATTATCCATGATTAATATGCCGCGGCATGCGCGAGCACAATACTAGTGTATGTATATATATATATATATATATATATATATATATATATATAAAACTAGGAAAGAGTATAATATGAATCTATTAATATATGTTTTTTTCTTGCAATTTTTCATCTCAAGAGATTTCTTTTTTTTTTTTTTTCGTTGCTTTCAAAACTGTAGAGTATATCTCTCTCGTGCAACAAAGAATTTCAAGAGTTATTGCCACATTATGTACTCCCTCCGTCCCATAAATATTGTCCACTTTGCCTAAAAAATTTTGTCCCAAAATTATTGTCCAATTTGACTTTTTATGGATCAAGTTACACATTTGTCCTTAGTAAAAAATATTATCCATAAAATCTTAGTGGTTAAACAATTACTTATGTAGGGGTATATCCGGTTGTTTAAAGTAAAATATAATTAAGTTTGACCAAAAATAAAATCTTTCATTTTAGTAAAATTGGACAATAATTATGGGACGGAGGGAATACTTGTTTTCGTGTGATTAGTTTTGTTAACACTAAGTCATCATTATTTTCATCCTAAGTAAAATTTTTAGTGACGCTAACTACAATGCCTCTAAAGATTTTATTAATTATCTTTAATTCATTGATAAATTAAATTTATTACTCCCAACATCTATAAATTAAAAAAATTTTAACATCCCAACAGTATTATTACTTTATGGATGTTTTACTAATATAATAGTAAGATAAAATACCACTTCGTTTTTTTTTAAGAATAAAAGATAAGATATCAATTTTAAAATTAAAAACATCTCTTTCTTTTTTTTTTAAGCTAAAAAAGGAAAAAGTTCAGCCAAAGTCGCGACAGGCGGAAGTGAAAAAGGAGATATACAGAAAGAAGTCTCTCAGACATCGAGGACATTTATAACACAAATCCTCTCTGCAAAGTGTATAAAGTACAAACGACTCCGAGTTCCCAAAACGCAATTCATGTAAGTCCTCCGACTCATCGATTCAGACTCAAACTCAACCTCGATTCAATTCAATGGCGGAACCAAGCCAATCCAAAATCAAGAAAGAAGAGATGGTCAAGCTGATCAGCGCCGAAGGCTTCGAATTCGTTATCTCTAAGAAAGCTGCCATGGTTTCTCAGACCATCCGCAACATGCTCACCTCTCCAGGTCAACCCCTTTGATTTTTACCCCAAATTTGTCCCCTTGTCATTTTTTTTGATTAATTGATGTTCTTCCTCTTCTGGGTCTGAAGATTATCTGATTGATGCTTGCCAATTTTGTTTTTGGTTTGGTTGAAAATTAGGGAGTTTTGCGGAGACGGAACATGGAGAAGTGACGTTTCCAGAGATTAGCACCACTATTCTGGAGAAAATCTGCCAGTATTTTTATTGGTCTCTTCAATATGCCAGGTTCTTCACTCTCTTCCTCTGTAGTTACCCTTTTGTCTAATGCTTGTAGATGTATTAGTACCTCATCCCATTTACAGACTTTTCTGGAGATCATAAGTTGAATAATGGTGGTATTAGTCATTAGAACATCTACGGTATCAAGCTTATCTGCAGTTTATCTTTGAAATCATTAGATTTAGGGATTGTGTAAGGGGTATCTGCTCTATCTTCCTTTGTAAAATTGAATCCCCTTCACTTCTGAAAGGATTCAGTGTATTTTCTGTTTTTACTGATTGAACCACTTCTCTTTCGTTTGGTGATTTACGAAGTGTTTCCTTGCATCTGTTCTTTTCTACTTATGGTTTTGATATTTTAATGCCTAAAGATAGTTTTCTGATAAACATGCGCAATGGGAGAACTGGCAGACCCAAAGTTGCAACCTTTTCGATTTATCTCTTTTCTTAATAATAGTGGCAGTATAATGTTCAGAAATTTCTATGCTTTTGTTGGAGGTTGAGTTGGTTGGGTAATGTCGATGAATTTTCATCTTGTATCAAGTTGCATCTTTGGACCCAGTTGGTAGAGTACCGCATTTATACATATATTTTTCCGAAGGGAATCAATCCATTACAAATTGATTTAGATTTCTGAGGGTCTTACTCGAAAGTTGGATGTCCTACAAACTTTAATCTGGGGAGTTTGGGATACAATTCATGGATCAAATTCTTTCTACACCATATTCCTATCAAGTTACTTCTTTTATCATACTTTACATCACTTGGAGTTATGATTGATGGCCACTGTGTTTGTAGGGAGTATCATATATGTCATAACGCATCATGTTCACAAACATTAAACAGATGAATTGTTATTTACTTGGTCTTTTCCTGGTTATTTGTTTCTCTGCTAAGAGTTTTTTTGTTTCCTTGTCTATTGGAAATTTGTTTGTCATTATCCCGCCATTGGATAAGTATCTGATGAAAACATATCTATTCAATGTCACAAAAGAACAATGTCAGGGCTTCAAGTTTGCCCTTATTATTTCTCTTCTAAAATCCACTTTTGCCTAGTTGAGTCTTCTACAACCTCAATTTAGTTAGCACAGGGTGGTGTTCAGACCGGTTCCCTCACCAACTACTTCTAACAAACATTATTCAGTCCACTGTCTGGGTTCAGAACAAGGGAGTCGTGGTGCTTGTTTGGAGCCATTTAATCTTCGAAATTGTTCCTTTCTTCTTCTTTTTCATCTTCTTTTTTTTTTTTTTTGGGTTTTCTTATTGGTAGGTTATTGGTAGGTTAGGGGTTAGTATCCACTGCAGGCTTTGGTTGCTTGACTATTTGGGGATCTTGTATCATTCTCGAAACATCTGTTGTTTGTGACTTGGTTTCTGACCACTGGGATTAAACTTTTCAATGTTGAGTACAGATTGTCTTTTGGCTTTTGAAGTTGAGTTGCATGTCATAGTTAGCTGTGTTTGTTTGGCTTCTCAATCAGTTGATTAGTTTTCAACATCTAATTACAATTGATCATCTATACATTGTAGTGGAAAGGAGACCGAGTTCCACATTGAACCTGAGCTGACACTGGAGCTGATGATGGCTGCCAACTACTTGCACACCTGATCCACCAGCTGTTACTGGGCATCAACCGTATAGTTTTCTGTGACTGTAAGCCTATGCCTTCTTGTGCTTTATACATTTTTTCCTTCTACTTCTCTTTTCATCTACTTTACTGGAGTCAGAATGGAGTGAGGAGAATGGAGTCCTAATATTTCTCAAAGCCAAGTTGACCTTTAGAAAAGTGAGCTAAGGAGTGTGCTAAGACACATTTTTATAGGCTATCCCAATGACTTGAAGAAATGAAATCCATGAAACACACTTCATCTGCATCCTGAGTTCCCTGTGGTGCTGTAAGCATTGTCAGGCCATTTATCTGCATCTCTTCTGTGTGCAAAAGTTATCTGTTTTTATGAGTTTTTCATTTGTTTCTCTGAACCTTATTCATGTTGGTTTTATCTTCACAGGGGTGATTTCAGCATGAGTAGGTGCCCGGACATCGCCTTTTATGGGGCGTTGGAGTTGGCTGACGAGTTCATATACCACTCTTGAGGGTCGGGATTGTGTCTATATATAATTGTTGGACATCATTATTCTGATTGTTAGGAAATTGATGTGAACTATGTTACGATAATGTTTGCTACAGGTGCACAACCTGCACGCTTACATGGTTTGTACCTGAACTAAAACTACCTCCTGAGTATGGAGGATTAAAAGAATAGTATGTGGTTGAAGGATGATTCGACTAATTGAGTTATGTTGTATGAACACTGTCGGAATGAAAAGAAGGTATCACAGTTGACATTTCGATCATTAACTGCTTGAAATGAATGGAATGTCTATGTATATCTATTTCAACCCCAATTAAGTTATGGAGTGATTGATGAATCCAGTTGCGAGAGACTATTGAAAATTTTTGGTGTGGTAATCAAAGGAAAATACTCTTATCCATGCAAAAAGATAAGAATCTCGACGGAGAGTAAGTGCATCAATTATTTCTTCCTTTTCTTTTTGTTTTGTTGTTGATAAGTGCATCAATATTACAAGGTCCACGTTGTTAACGATGGCTAAGTGATGGGATATTATTTTGGCACGTTCGTTGTATATATGGTAGCAAAACGATCAAATTTCTTATTTTTGCGTTGTATTTTGTACACAAACATTTCTTTTTTTTTTTCATTTAATTTATTATTCCTTCAGTTGTCATTAAATTTTGAGATTTGTGTTATTTAATTCAAATGTTTAAACTCAATATGAACTATTTCTTTTATAACACAGAGAGATATTTTTGTTATGATATGTGAAAGATGGATTTGTATATACACAAATATTTCTCCCTCAATTTCATGTAAGTAATTTACTTTTGTGATCTCTCCGGTCCTTAATATAATGTATTTTGATTTGTCCTAAATTTCATATAATATACGTTTTTAATTAAAAAAATCTTTAAAATATTTTCACATTCATTGTGTTCTATTGACTGTGACGAAATATTTTTAAGGTTTTTTCTATCAATAAAAAATACGTATAAGGTGAATTTTAGGACAAATCAAAATACCTTATATTACGCTGAGGGTATATTGTTTTCATTCGATAAAATACACTATTAAATGAGGTTTTTAAACGAGACAAACTTGCTTATCGTTTTTTTTTTTTTTTTAAACTTGCTTATCGTTTCCATGAGTGAATTGTCCACCAAAATTTAGCAGCATAACCTTTTTTTTTTTTTTTTTTGGTAACGATGTGATTGCTCGTGAATTTGGAAACCTATGGAATTTTAAACAGAATCCAGAGTGCTTCTTGGACTTGCTAACAGTTTCCCCAAAAACACCTGCTCAAAAAGTAGGTTAAAAAAAAGAAAAAAAGGAGAAGACTTTTTAGAGAACTTAGCTAGACCTATGTATGACTTCTGATAAGTGATTCTGAACAAGGTTCCTAGAAGACTTTTCTGGTTGGCTCCAGAAAAGGGCAACATCAGAGTTAACATCAGCTCAGAGATGGTTCCTGGCAAGAGTATAGCAGGTTTAGGGATATGCATTAGAAATGATGAAGGCAAGCTGATCTTGGCAAAATCAATCTTCCAGGAGCAGATGCAGAGTCCACTAGTTACAGAACTTGAGGCGGTGAGAGCTGCAATGCTGGAAATACAACTTAGAAAAATCAAGAAGGTAGAAATACAATCCGATGTTAAGGTTATGGTTGCTTGGTTACAGAATAGAGTAACTCCTGTTTAAGATGTTTTAACCATAGTCAAAGACATCTTTTTGTTGAAAAATATTTGTACGGATTGTAGGTTTTTGTATATTCAGAAAAATTGGAATTTATCATGTTACAATCTTACTAAGTTAGTTCTTTTTAACAAATGTATACAAAATTGAGAAGACAATACTTCTTTGTGGTTAGAAAGAGCATTTAAAGCGAATTATATTAATTCTTTGTGAATCCTACATTTTAGCGTTGTTTTTTATCAATGAATATCGCTTTTGACAAAAAAAAATAAATAAATAAAATTCCCAGCCTTCAATCTTCATGAATGAATGTTTTTCACTGTTCCTGCCCCAAAAAAGCCAAAAATATTGAAAATACGTGGTCGGCAGGATTCGAACCTGCGCGGGCAGAGCCCACATGATTTCTAGTCATGCCCGATAACCACTCCGGCACGACCACCTTGATGTTTGCTTAAGTGAATATACAAGTCTGTTAATCGCGGTTTATGCTGATGACCTCCGTATTTTCCTTTTATTCCCCTCTTTCTTTTGCCTCCATTTTTGGCAAAAGAAGTACTAGTGTATATTTATGGCAAAAGAAGTACTAGTGTATATTTATGTATTCATTTATATTTATGTATTCATTTAAACGTGAATTTCGTGATGGGGTTCTGATAAAAAAACAATTGTAAGACCATTTATTATGTGTAATTTCACTTATGGGCTAAGTTTGAAGAAATGGTTAATCACACCAGCCTCTAATAACAAATTTAATAGTTCATCTACCATTTCGTCTTTTGTTTTTTGTTTAGTACAAGGAATATACATTTGGCTAAAAAATAATGAAAAAGAAAAAGTCCATTTGTATTAGGATTAAAAGAGTAACCAATGAAAAAAGTAGTAGTAGTTTTTTGTGAGGACTCTCCCTCTCTCTCTCTGATTGTACTACTCGTCAGGTGGGGCGGCACAAAATCTACAAAGTCTACAACTCTTTCAAGTTTCAAGGGTCGAAAAAAAAAAACAGAGGAAAATTTGCCGGATGTATGTACAAATAAAGGTTAAAGAAAAAGGGATACGACAAAGAAAAAAAAGAGTTGCAAAACAGAGTTGAGGATTAGAAAGAGTCGTCAGTTTCGATTGTCAACTGTCTCACAGTGAGTGTGCATACCATCAACATCATCATCATCATCATCAAGTGGTCCAGTTTTGTTTAAATATTTGATTCCTTTTTTGTTCTGTTTTCTCTGAAAGATCAGTCTTATCCTCCGCAACCCTGTTTTTCAGTGGAACTCAAAAAAAGTTCCCCAATTTTTTCTTGTCTTGTGTGAGAAGGAACGGAAAAAGCGATGGAGAAACCTGAGACTGAGAATCCTTCTGCACGAAGGTTTTCATCGTTGACGGTTGAACTTTTCGGGGCTAAAGAATCTGCACCCTTACCAGGGAAAATCTCTTCAATCTTCCATCCTCCGTTTTCGACTACTATGGTAAAGTTTGATCTTCAATTTTGAAAGTTCGTTTGCGTTGAACCCTTTTTAAGGAAAATGGTGAAAAATTTGATTTGCATGTGTGTTAGTGTTTAATTCATCGTGGTGTTTTTTTTTTGTTTATCTCAGGCATCGGGAAGGAGGAGCATCTCCGCTTCTGAAATGCTGCGATTGATGGATAAGCGTTCTTCTGTTGGGGGCGAGATTTGGAACAGAGGATCTTTCGGTTAGTTTTTGCAGTTTGTTTTTGTCATACTACTTCAGCTTTTCTTCTTCCAAAGGAGTAAATACAATGCAGCAAAGTCTCTGAAATTTTATTGCATTACTATAACTACCTCTAGGCTGAAGATGTTTATCCGGCTTGAGTTTCCATTAATATAAATATGACCAAAACTGATTTGGTTTTTGTGTTAAGTACTATTGATCGCAACAAAAAAACAAAACATGAAAAAAAGTATTTCAAATAAGACGGATTCTGGAGATGGCAATTGATATAATATTCCACCTACTTGGATGATTCTATACAAGTCTAGATTTAACTGTGAAGAAAGGTTTAAATTGTCAATTCTTTGACAGAAGACCGGTCTTCGGACAAGGTTGGATCAAGCCAATGTGAAACAAGCAAGGAGAGGAACTCAGCATTTCTGGACAGGCCAGAACCGTGTTCCTTAAGTTCATCACTGGTCTATGGCGGTGCTGAAGACGTTTACACGCAGCCTTCAAATGCACAATCACGGGGTTCTTATCCTGAAGTAAGTTTTGATGTTTTGAACCAGCAGCAAATTTTTTACAGTTGCAATACATGTTTTTTTTTTTTTTTTTGTCCCCAAATGTGATAGATCTTTCTGTTAAGAAACATTGTTTTTTTGTTTAATTAGTCCAAGAAAGATGAGGCCAATGGTGATCAAACTAGGGATGATTCTCATTCTGCTTCTAGAGGAGATTGGTGGCAAGGTATGGCTCTATAAACTCCTCCTAATCATGCTGCATTAGGTTTTTGTGTAGTATGTTCTGGAAATTACTGATAGAAGTTTCCCAATGCAGGTTCGCTCTATTATTAGCCCTTACCTACCGAGCAAATTACTGACAAAGTTTTCCAAAGTAGTATGTTCTGAAAATTACTGACAGGTTATGGATTCTCAACATTACTAGTTACTGCCATAAACAATTCAAAAGTGCGTCAATCTTTGCCTCTTTTCTCGAAGAACGCATTAGAAACTACGATGTGCTTTTCTTTCTTCATTGTTACTTACCCTTATGAAGATACTAGTTAGGTTTATCTTTTGTCCTTTGTACAAATATATGCAGTTATTGAAACATGTAGAAAATAAAGAAAGGAATTGGTGCGCGTTTCTTGAATTCTTGAGTATAGAAATTAGAAGAAGAATGAAAGAATTGATAGTAGAAGAAATTGAATTGAGTTTTTAGTTGAGTAGTACCGAGTGTCGACTGAATTAGTTGCAAATTGTACTGAGTGAGTGTCAGGGTCACCCGTAACACAAGTTTGAGTCACTTCCCATGACACTTCATTAGAGGCTCACACCTGTCTAAATTTTAATTCCTACAATTTCAGTCTTCCCATCAAGTCAACGATGTAGTTAAATCACTATCGATGGAAACGGATTCCCCACCGTTGGACAAAAAAAAAAAAAAATCCAGCCGGGAATATTCAATTATGAGAACAAAAAAGACTTGAGTGGATTTATAGAACGCCAATGGGTTTGTGTTACCCTTCGCCTCATCTCCTCACCAAAAATGGTTGCAAATAATCTAGAACTGAAATCTTTAATAGCGACTTTTGTCTTGGCTCTAACTGTTACATCATTCTCCGGGGATAAGGTAGATGAGGACCTTTGTAACCATATAGGAGAAAATTTGTTAATGTGTATGGCTTGCTTAACAGCAAAAGATGTCCCTCCAAATTCAAAATGACAGACACCCACAACAACCGCAACAAGAAGGAGAAGGAGATGATCAGGTCAAAGAATTGGCGGGCAAAACCATAGATTGTGCTCCTCGTTCCCCGCATGGTTGGTTCGAGGGGTCATGGTGGATTATTCCAAAAGTGGCACCTGTGACCTTCAAAAGGCAGCATCATTGTGTGTCCCTTTACTTGAAAGTGCGACCAATTCCTTCACTGTAGCCGTTGATTTCTGGAAATATGATGGAAAAACAGATGCACCAGAAACAATCCGTTTGGACAAAAAGAGTATATTGATTGCGTATTCATCAGAATTCCAAAGGGATCGCCTCAAGAGTTATGCGACATATATACTCCACTGCATTAAAAGCACGTGGGTGAAGTGGCTAGATTAATTATTTCTGCACTACAGTAAAAAAATAGTAGAGCTAGCTGGCCATATTGCTTTCGAGTTCATGATCCAAATTACAAAATAGCAGTAAGTTGACCGACATTTGTTGAGTTCATGTGCCAATTGTCATCTATTTCTATATATATTTAAGGCTTCTCCAATTGAATTATTTGGTTCAGTTCCAATGTAAAATGTACAAAAATGCAGAAAATAATGATCGTGATCAGAAATTCCAATAGCAGTAGATTGTCCCGGATGCCAAATTAAATGGACAAGAATTTCTGGATTCTAAGCAGCACCCCAAAAGATTATGGAGAATTTCTTCTCTTGGTTTTGATTTTGAACGAGGTTCTCGCATATGACCTTCAACGACTGGTGCAAGGAGTGGCTTAAGACAACATAACTTTGTCCATGCATATAATGTCAAATATATTGTGCTTCAAATTAGGTTATTTTTGCTAATTATATTTTGAAAAATAAAATTATGTCAAAAAAACATATATCATATGTATATATAATGGATTAGTTAGCAACATGCTGATCTACACTTTCTAATTAATAAACTCATGAAACTGAATGAATGTCATCATAAATTGAACAGAGCAACATATTTTTAGGTGATTGATTGTCATCATGTGCTTTCCCTTATTTATTGATTTTTTTTAGTTATCATTATCAGATTAGAGAATCTTGTGAATCACGTACGATAATGCAAAAACAATTTTGGTATTCACACTAATGTTGACTGGAACTGAAGCAAAATTGAAAATGAGGGTGAATGGAAAGAGAAACCATTGTGTTATAACTGAAAAGAGATATATATTAAAAAAATAATAAAGGAAATTATGAAACTAGGAGAACAAAAAAAACTACAATTCATGTTGCCTTGTTGATTTTGTACAATAAAATCAAAACAAATCAATGAAAAATTATTTTGTTGTTGAGTAATTGAGTTATTTTAATTTATTTGAGCATCTAAAATGGTCCTTTTTCAAATATAAAATTGGTGCAGAAATATAAAATTCTGGTTCCAAATGGGTCGAACCACATATAAATCGAACTCCAAAATGTCCAGGAAAAGATGCACAAGCAAGTTTGTCAATTTGTATTGAATGAGTGTGAGGGTCACATGAAACAGAAGTTCGTGTCACTTCCGGTAACGATTCACTACAGGTTGACACATGTCCAAATTTTAATTCCTACAATTTTAATCTTTCAAGTTACCGATGTTAACGATGTAGTTAAATCACTATCAATAGAAACAGACTCCCCACCATTGGACACCAGCCCGGAAAATCTAATTCCGAGAACAAAAGACTTGAGTGGATTTATAGAATGCCAATGGGTTTATTTTACCCTTCGCCTCATCTTCTCACCAAAAATGGTTGCAAATAATCTAGAACTGAAATCTTTAATAACGACTTTAGTTGTTTTGGCTGTAACTGTTAAATCATTCTCTTCCTTTCAACCACTCATTCCTTATATACAAAAATACTACTCCCTCCGTCCTAAAATTATTGTCCAGTTTGAGATTTCACTTTTAGTACAATTTAAACTAAAAATGAAAATTCAAACTGGACAATAATTATGGGACGGAGGGAGTACTACAGGGCCGATGGGATTCAGGGTTTGGACTCAGGTACTCATTTGTTTGGTTGGCCAAAATGCTTTTCTGTAAGTACTTTGATCATCAATTTTTATTTTCCTTCTTTCTAACTAGTTATAAAATTTTGTACAACCATAAATTTATATTCATGCATAGCTAACAATATCAAAGCACATTAAGTGTATTTAACGACAATTTTTTTCCCATATTCTACACAACTCTAATACTTTTTGTAAATGCCTGTATAAGGGTCTGCGTTAGCAACACTAGCGCTTCCTTGATCCCCACCAGAAATAGAGCTCCCAACTCCATCTACAAGAACACCAACTACATTTCCTACATCACTAACCATATTTCCAATATCCTCAACTCTAGCTGCAACATCCCCAACCAAGTCCGACTCAATTGGTACCACTGCAGCGTATCTACATATAGGCATTTACAAAAAGTATTAGAGTTGTGTAGAATATGGGAAAAAAATTGTCGTTAAATACACTTAATGTGCTTTGATATTGTTAGCTATGCATGAATATAAATTTATGATTGTACAAAATTTTATAACTAGTTAGAAAGAAGGAAAAAAAAAATTGATGATCAAAGTACTTACAGAAAAGCATTTTGGCTGCCAAACAAATGAGTTGCTCATCCAAGCCCTGAACTCCATCGGCCCTGCAGTAGTACTGTTTGTAAGGAATGAGTGATTGAAAGTAAGAGAAGAACGCTAAGATATTGAAACTTGCTTGTGCATCTTTTCCTAGACATTTTGGAATTCAATTTATAGGTAGTTCGGCCCAGTTTGAACCAAAATTTTATATTTCTGCAGCACCCTTGCACCCCTAGTTTTTTTAGATGATCAAATAAATTAAGGTAGCTCAACAACGAGATATTCTTTCATTGATTTGTTTTGATTTTATTTTACTCTTAAATTCTTTCATTGATTTGTTTTGATTTTAGATGATCAAATAATTCGCAAAAGTAACCTAATTTGAAGTGCAGTATTTGTTTAACTCTTTGTTGTGACACACAGTCTAGGGTATATGTCGAAATAATTATTATCAATTTAAAACCCATCAACCAAATATTAAAAATTGGAATTATTTTATTCCCCCGTTCTAAAACCCACCAAGCAAACACACCTATGTATTTCGGCTAGTTCTAATACCAGTATTGACAAAAACCTGAAGATGGCTTTACAGTATGCCGTAAAGGTGGCTTTCAATCCTAGAGCTAACTAAAAACATTGCGAGACAAATAACCGAGACTAACCAAAACTGTCGGAGCGTGAAGTCAAGAAGATTTCCATCAAGTGAACCATTCTGTACTAAAATAAAATACTGAGGCAAATCATCAGGCCGTCAAGTAGGTTGCTCCAATAGGGTAGTAAATCGTGGAGGTTGGAAGCTGCAGTGATCACGGTATTTCTTATCTTTAGAAATGCAAAGAAACAATCTTTCATAAGCTGCTGCCATTTTGGTGGCTGTAAATAAGTTCAAACCCCTTTCTCTAGCTAGCTGACCTTTCCTTTCCAGAACTTCTCTTCCATCATCATAAGCCTTGTACAATGCTTTCTTCAGTGACCTTACAGTAGGCGAAAATATATACCCGAAATCTTCATTGACTACAACAGATCCTGTAATGCTAGCTAGTTTTGTAGCCATTAGAGGCTTACCAGTTAGGAGTGCTTCCAACAATGTGTGATCTAAACCTTGCGCCCGCAGAGTTGGATTCACAAATACGTCCATTGCATTGTAGAAATCCGCGAGTTGAGCTTGTTCCATTGCCCCGAACACGCGAAGATTTGAACCCAGGAGTTTGTATCTGTAAACCCAAGGACCATCTCCAACAACAACCACTGTAACACTATCCCGGAAAGTAGAATTCTCTTTGAACATTTGCCTCAAAGTCTCAAACATCAAGGGATGCCCTTTATCCTTAACCAGCCTCCCTGCCAGACCTATAATCAATTTTTTAGATTCAGGAATACCATATTTGGACTTGAATCTTTCTCCATTTTCTGCATTTGGTTTGAAAAGCTCCTGATCTACACCATTTAGAATAATGTGAACACGGTCATCAGGGATCAAGTATATCCTTTTCAGGACATCCCCTGCATGATCACTTGTGGCAACATGGTGAGCATAATTTGGGAAGAATTTGACCTCTTCAATAACCTTCATCACCCTTTCAGTCAATAACTTCGACTGAGAGATGTTGCGAGGCCGATGGAGCTCCTGAATGATGTCGGAATGGATGGATTCGTACGCGATCCCATGCCAACTAACTGCTACATTGCTCTGGTTCCGCGATCTAGTGTGCATTAGCCCTACGCTCTCGGTGTGAATCACGTCAAACGGTCTTCCTGTCGAGTTCTCTGCCTGAAACTGTCGCCAGGCTTCGGCTTGGTCAAGGAAACCCCCTGCTGATGGCTTGGAGAGGTGAAATATCATGTTGCTGACAGGGTAGTTCGCGAAAGATGAATTTGAGGACGGTGAAGTAGTAAAAATATGGAGCTCATGCCCTCTTTTGGCAAGAGCATGATGTAGAGTTAAGGCGTGGCGTTCGAGCCCTCCAGCGCGATTATTCTCAGGCCATTTCTTGACGAAGAGAGCAATTTTCAGCAACGCTGGAGGCGGTTGTGAGGCGAGGTTGAGCCGGTTCCAGGCGAATGGAAAAGAAAGCAAGTTGATGCTTTGGTTTTGGTTGTGAAGCTCAGTTAGTATTTGGGAATCGCAACAGTTAGAGCATTGAGACCAATATAAGAATGAGATGGATGAGAAAGTAGAAAACAAAACCAAGATGTAGCACCAACTGCGGAAATGGAAGAAACTCAGCTCCTCTTTTCCCATATTTCTTTCTTTCAACCACAATAAGATTCTGAGCTTGTCATTCAGAGTAACTCTCAAGAGTAGTCTCGAAACTACTGACCATCTGGGAAGTACCATAAAATAAAATTGGAAGATAACATGTTAAGATCTAATGATGCATCAAAATGCACAGAAAATGTATGTTCTGTGTTGTATTCAAGTTTTGAATAATGTCTAGTTGACTGGGAGAGCCAGGAGGGTTACTACTCAATTTAGTATTAATCTGTTTCCACCGTCCAATTGGAGTCCTCAAAAAACATCATGTGATTCCTGCTTAAACATTAATTTACTTGTCGGGAGCTCACCGTACTTAGATATTTGATTCATTACCCATCAAATCCGCAAAATGGAGTGTACGAACACCATTACTTATTCTGTGTTGGAAAACATCAACTTACTTTTTTAATATGAAGCTGGATGCAACTGAATTTCCCAACGTAAAACAATTTCTCTTTCAATGAGGTTGACGTTATTGTGTTTTTCTGTAATGTTAAAGCAACATAGTCACTACAGAAGAAGCATTTTGTAATAGTTTCTCACGTACTTCAATCAAAACCAGCACGGCCTCTTTAATCTACTATTCAACAACAATATTTACACTTTCTCCACACTATAAAGTTGGATTTATGAATCATATGTTATTCTTGTTATCCATCAAAAACAAATCTTTTGTCGCGGACATTAGGCCAGATGAAATATGAATCAATCGCCTGTGTGGCACAAAACTTCGCCATTGTTTGGATGCAAAAATTTGTATTAAAATTAAAATTGTACTAAAACCAGGATCGAATTGACAAGGCCAACAATCAAATAACCCTGTATGTTTTTGCTACCTAGTGAAGGCATGTAAGACAACATAAATGTAAATGACAAGACCAGAAGGCACCAAAAGCAGCAGAGGAACAACCGCAGCAGCAGAATGCCAACTCCCACAACCTAATTTTCCCAGTTTGATTTGAACAAAATCCATAAGGGCCAACGTCAAGAAAACACACCCGAAAATCGAACCCAGCGCAGAGGCCAAAATCCCAGATTGCAGGACTTTCAGATTCACACGAACAACAAAATCGCGCATTTGAACAACCCCAAGATGATCCTCATCTCCTTCATCTTCCTTTGAAGAAGTAATCCTGATACCCTGTTTAAGGCCCAAAGCAATGAGGCTAGAAAAGAGGAAAGAGCTGAAAGAGTAGACATGAAATTTCACCATTTCCTCAACCATGCCTGAGCCAGCAGCACAATGGATGGATTCAACTAAACTGTCACTGGGATCTCCTAAATTCCAAGTGAAGCCAATGAAAACTCCAACGGTGAATAAGGAATTCACATTCACTATCCCATCCAAGGCCAATATGTGGATGCTTGTGATGGAAAGAATTTTCTCCCTTGACGAAGAATTACGGTGGCCCATTCAATTTTTTTGTGATCGAAAAGAAATTGTGAATCAGCAGCAATTTTGATTATTAGAAGAGCATTTTTTTTTTTTCTTTTCTTTTCTCCGTTTTCTCATGCCTGATCTGTGCTTAGCTTTTTTCGGTTGAGTGGCTTTGAAGTTAGGAAATGTTCTCGTACTTAAAATAGAATGCCTCCCTAGAAGCCTCTTTAGCAGAAGAAACGGAAAGAATTTGCTATGCAAAAGAAAGGCGGAAACAGAATGTGGGGGGGAAAAAAAATTTACGCCGTTGCCGGGGATCGAACCCGGGTCACCCGCGTGACAGGCGGGAATACTTACCACTATACTACAACGACTCGTTGTTCAATCACTTGAAATAAAAGGATAATACTTTAAATAATAAGCATTCAGAAAAAATAATGAAGTACGCCGTTGCCGGGGATCGAACCCGGGTCACCCGCGTGACAGGCGGGAATACTTACCACTATACTACAACGACTTGATGACATTTTGTTGGACAAAGGATTATTTGATCAGTTCCACAAATTAGCCTCTCATCAAGTCTCTCAAATATGGCTTGTTTGGAGCCCTTGAAGAGTCCGAATTACACCCTAGACTTATTGGGTTTAGGGTTAGATTACTTAGAAATTAAACCATCGCCGTATTATTTTTTATCTATTATTAATAAATCTACTCCAATTAAGAACCACCTTAATTATAAAATCTACCCCTATATAAAGGGGTGCTCTCTCCTCTATTTGGGACAAGTGGTATACAAGCGGCATCTTCATAACTCAATAATAAAATTATCTCTATTTTTTATTCTTTCTAAACCTTAATTCTAATAAAAATAATAATATTTTCGTTTCATGCTTTCTATTGTGGAGGGCTTTGCCATTTCCATTTTGTATTTACCCTCTTTCTTCATTTAATCATTCCTATCCAGAAGGACAAAAACTGTATCAAACCTCAATCTGCGTGACAACGATTTCCAGTTTTTCGTTTTCCTGCTCCATTTTATCAATAAATTATAAAATAAGTGCTCCTTCCGTCTCATAATTATTGTCCAGTTTGAATTTTCATTTTTAGTTTAAATTGTACTAAAAGTGAAATTTCAAACTGGACTATAATTTTGGGACAGAGGGAGTATTAAACATGTAAGAATGTAGTATAAATTAAAATTACTTTGACAACGACTCTAGTTCTTAAAACAATGAATCCTTAAACGGTTAAACCATAATAACTCAATTCATGTAGTAGTAATTAAACCTGCTACTTTTTAAGGAAAAAGTGGCAAACTGGCTGCAGGATTTACGTTGTCAGTGAGATCGGGTTAATTAACGCCGGCTACCGGAGTCGGAGGAGATTCTGGTCCCCTCCAGCATTTATAGAGTTTACTTAAAGACCAGTCACATGGCTTCAACACGCCCCCGGCATTAAATTCTTCTCCTTTTTTAAAAAAATCTTCTTTTTTTTTTCCTTTTCCCTTTTCCATCCTAATTTGCTGTATTTCTGACAGCGATCGGTTGGACAAGTTCTTGCCACCCAAAAAAAGAAAGGATTTTTCTTAAATCAGAAAACTGTACACTAAACTGTCCACATCCATCAAAACCTTTTCCTCACTTGGGTGTTTTAAATTTTCCTTAGTTGTGTTTGATTTTGTCATTCAATCATGAGCTTCCACGCTTGCACGATCCATCAATTTTTGCACCGTACTACCTGTTTTTTACTTGTTTGCCTTTTGGTATTGATATTTTGCTCTATGGGGAAAAAAAAAATCTTATTATAATCCACTAAAATAAATTATTTTTTCTGAGATTGAGATGGTTATACCTTTTTTGTGATTTATTATATTATTTTCGCATAAAAATAATTATCATGTCTTTTGTAACACACATAACGTATAGAAGGATAAATAATGACTTAAAATAATTTGATGTGGATAAAAACATCAATGGTGTTACATTCATATAAAAACAAAGCAGAAAAAGTAATATCATTTTCATTCTGTTCCAAAAAAACAAAAAAAAATCACGTCCAGTTTTGAGATTTGTATTTTCTAGTATAAATCTCAAAATTCTATATGTATACTAATATTTTGAAAAAGAGTTTTTTTTTTTTTGGCACAATACTGTGAAAGTTTGGTTTAAACAAAAAACCGCCATATATAGTAGGAAAAGTATATTTTACGAATTTGATAAGAAGAGACTCATCAAATACGAGTAATATAAACGTGATCATGAGCTTGATCACGAAAGGCTATAAACATGAATTTTTATGCTACTGTATCTTCTCATGAGATGGTCACTATGAGTGTTGAGGTTTATCTTATTATCATGCTTGTTAATTTTATCTTGCTTTAATATATGTGCCCCTTGGAATTTTTGCCTCTTTATCCTGGTTTTGTCATTGAACGGGGATTATATTTTCTTAAAAATATTGTTTTATTTGTTCGTGTTTCGTTCCCATTGATCCGAATTATGAAAGTAAATTCCTTTTATGTTAGCATCAAGTAACGGATTGATTTTTTTTATTCCAACAAACTGAACTATTAATGGGAAATTATTTTATAATCATAGTTTTTATACCTTCAAAAAAAAAAGAAGTAAGAAACTACTATTTTTTCCATTATTTCTTTTTTAAAAAGGGGCTTCATCAGTTATATTGGGTTTACGCAAAAAATCAATCCCCAATCTTAAGATGATGATGAATGATGATAATTGATAAGTGATAACTAGGAACTTCAAGCTCTTCATCATCAGTTAAATGGGGCTTAATGGCTAAAATCCAATCCTATGTGCCGCCAAATTATTATCCATTGGGCTTACGTGTAAATAACATTTTAAGTGCATTACTACAACTTTTTGTCTCTACTTATGTACACCTTTTTTTATTTATTTTTATTTATTTATTTTTATTTATTTATTTTTTACTTTTAGAATTTGCATTCCAACTATCCAACTGATGATATTTCTTCACGTCCTCCTTTTTTGGAGTGAAGATAACATATAAAATGTTATCATGAAGGCCATAAAGTAAACCCGGCCACAAATTCACCCAACCAGGAAACAGTGTCATTTTTTTATTTTGGATATTTTCGTATGAGTTTTGCTAATTACAATTAAGAGTGGTAACTAATGGTTTCTTTTTCTAGTGGTAATAATATTTGAAATGGAAGCAAAATTACAATACGGTGCCACCCGGATTATCGGACCATTGTCGTCGACACCAGCAAACAAATTCCGGCCAACTTCTAATAAAATTGACCTCTTCGTGATTCGCGAACACTACATTTTCGCTCCATAATGCTTAGGGATTATACTCCCTTATCTTGAATGAGGTCGATTTTGTTACACAATCGCAAAAATGACGAGAATTAAATAGCTGATATCATTAATATTCGGCACAAATAGGACGGGCTTCAACTATTGGGGCAAGCCACTTTTTGTCCATCAAACTGTGGACTGTGGAGATCACTATCCCTGCGCATTATAGGTTAAATTTGTACTACCTCCCATCCTAAATATAATGCACAAATTTAAAATATAATCAGAAATTTTAAATTAATTTTAGTTTTAATTTATACTTTATGATTAGAGGGAATATTTCTTTCACCCTACATTAGAATCTTATTCACGCAAGCTAGGTGGTTTATATTGTTTTAATTCAAATAAAATAAAAGGTCATATTTACGTACTAGTAAGTAGTATATGCATCGAATTAATGAAAGAGTTCAACGACTTTAATGAAATGTTAAGTAAAAAGATTAATGAACCGATGAAAGCCGCAATAAGTTGATCAACTTATATTCTCTGTTACAAAAAAAAAAAAGAAGTCTATATCAACTTTTGAAATTTGTAATAAAAATAATACAAATGTATTAAAAAAAACACACACATCAAGTTTTAAAATTTGTAATAAAAAGAATACAAATCTAAAAATTTAACGTTGACATAATAGTATAACTTTAGGGCTATACCTTAAAAAAAAAACACACCACGAAGAAGGGGAAAAAAAAACAAACAAAAAGCAAACCTTTCATTATGAGTTCATTTTTACGATGAAGTAGTTTCAGTTTACTCAAATAAATCTGTGATTTTAACTCATCACTGCTTTCGTTTACACACTCATTCATAGTACTATAATAAGTTTAACTCCCTTCACCTCGATTCAAGCTTTAATTAGATAGGTTCAATTTCATCTCACAATTTTATTGTAGCTCGTCAATGTTTAACTGAAAACCATCTAAGTAGATGACTAGATGACACCATTAACTCCAACATTTTAGCTATCAAATGCATCTTTATACTATAAAAATTACTCCTATATAGATAGGTAAGGGAGAAAATATTTGATGCAAATTCGTGTAAAAAAGGTGGAAATATATTTTTCCCCAAATGTCTGTCCTTTATCTGACAAAATGCAGAATAAAACTGAAAAGTTGTTTCGTTAACCTGCGTCGGCCATTTTCTTTTTTCTGCATTTTCTATTTTTCTCTTCATCTTCCATGAATTTTGGGATTTTTTGCAAAAGTGGTGCTGATTCCTTCACTGAAGATTCTCATCAATCACCCACATACACATTAGATAAAGTCCATGTGAAAGCAGGCTTCTAATCTAATCTGTTCATGTCTTCCTGATAAACTTCAAAAAGGAACATAGAAAAGGGACAAAAATATTGTTCCTGATAACCATGGTTGCTACAAATTTTCCCCCTTTCTCCCAAGTCCTAATACAATCTATCTATCTAAATTGGTAACGGTAAAAAAAAAAAACGACTAAAACATTAAAGTAATAAATCCGCAAAATGTAAAACTTTATGAGTTTTTTACCTTAAGAACGACAATCACTAAAATATTGTTTACTTTCCGATGGCAAACAAGTTTTGGTCAGACACCAAAACAGTTGAACGAAAACAACAAACTAAAAACAAGAAATGAGAACTCAAAGGGGGGAAAAAAAAAAAGACAAAAAAAGAAGAAACAAATACTCCGGCGAAGAAGAATAATGGAGAATTTAAGGCCATACCCTTTAGGTTAAGGATGGTGGCCTAACCAAACTAGTCAACCATGCAGGTGAAATTAACAACCACGCTTAAAACAACAACCCCACCCATCTCATGCTTTTTTTTTTTTTTTTTTCCTTTTTCAGGTTTAACTATAATCAGAAGAAAACTTAATTAATTATTCATAATTAAAAACTAGCAATTAATAAATTATTATTCATATAATTAATAATAATAAGTTATATAATAACGTAATAAAAATTCTGTTTCCAACAAATGGCAGGTGGGTTTCGTGGGTAGACAAACGTACGATCCAACTACTAAAATCCCTTCCTCAACTGAACCTCCTCTCCCCCTCAAACAAATCAGACGTTAAGTACTCTTCTTCCTTCACTTCCCCTGTTTTTTTTTTTTTTTTTATATATGTAAACTAATAAATAGTACTATAGAACTCTAAAAGCACTTCTCCTGCAGTTGAGTCCTGGAGAATTGAAATTGATTCTCCCCTTTCTCTTTCTCCTTATTATCAGTTTGACAACAACTCTCTCTACTCTCAAGTGGGCAGTAAGAGTTGTGAGAGATTTAAATTTCCTCCAAAAATAGAAATTGTTCTTTGCTTTTCGGGAATCCTAGTTATTGTGGAATTCAGTTTGAGTTCATCAGTTTCTTCTTCTTCTGAGTGTCTTTCTGCTTATACTACAAAAGGCCAAAAGAAGAATAAAACTCTGATTTGAAGTCTGAAATCTGGATTTTTATGGCTTCCCACGAGAGAGAAGGTTTGCTTCCAGTTCAATTATTCCAAGACGGTGATGTTTCGTCTGAAGATTTTAATACTATTAGCCACCAGCAGCAGCAGAGTCTTGGTTTTAAAGGGTTGCGTAAATACGAATCAATCTCAATTTCTTGTGGGTCGTCTTATTCTTCTTGGTCGGATTTGAGTTCGCCGTTTGGTTCCGAACTTGAGACCACTTCCACCTCGGAAACCACTGAAAGTGAAGATGAAGAATTCATTTCCGAGTTGACCCGTCAGATGGCCGAGTCCATGCTTCAAGATGATGATGACGAAGAAGAAGAAGTAGAATTAAAACGCGTTCAATTTCAAGCACAAGATCGAGATGATTGTAATACCGTCGACTCTGTCTCCACTTGCTTCCCCGACAACAACTCTGAGGTTACTTCATTTTTTTAATAGCTATTTCTTTTTTTCCCTTTAAAGTTAAATTAATGTTTTCTTGGAACCCGTTTTTCTGATTTTGTTTTTTTTTTTTTCTGTTTATTAAAGGCAAGTGAATCGTCGGTGAACTGGTCGGACTGCAAATCAAGCTCTGTTTGCTATTACAGTTGCCCGGAATTCCCCACTCCGCCGGAATCCTCTGTAAATGCAGAGGACAGCTTAAGTGATGAACAATTGCGGCCTGTTGAAGTAAGTGGAACCTCCTTTTTGACAAATTAATTTATTATAAAAAAAATTTTGGTGAATGGCTGACTAAATAGAAAATGAACTTTTGAAAATCGTATTTGAGTGCAGGTTTATGAGTTGAAAAACCAGCCACAATTGAATAATAATAATCAAGACTCTGGTGTTGTTGGTGGGTATGGTAATAAACGAGTTGATAAGTCGGCAACTGAGTCAACTCATCAACCACTCCACCAGCAAAAGGAACAACAAAACAGAGTTGGCGGCGGCGGCGGCAAAGCATGGAAGCAGCAAGGGAAGAAGAACAACAATATTCTTCCCCCAGTATTACCAACGCAACCAAACGGGTCGGGTATGCGGGCGGTATTTCTGGGCGGATCTGATAAAAACGGGTACACTAGTACAACTGGGACGGGCGTTTTCCTCCCAACTGCAGCCGCTTATACCAAACCCGAACCCAAAAGAAAATCAGGTACCACTAAATATCCGCCGTCTCACCTACAAATTGTGTATGAGTAAATAAATTTTTTGTTTCCTCGCACTTTGGTTGTTATTTTATTTAATGTGTTTAATTATGGCAGTTCATTATAATTATCAAATTGTTACAACTAAGATGCATCAAATTCGCGCTAGGATCCTGTGGTTTAACCTTAGAAAGGGAAAGAAAAGGAACGGTTAGGATTGTGTACTAAGGAATCTAGAATGAAGACAGTTCGAGTATAATAATGAATAATGTAGACAAAAAGAGGTGTTAGATCCGGGTTTGTCACAAGTTTTGACGGGGACCCGGAGATGGACCAAAATATGTATAGGGGTGAAAGTACAGCCGTATTAGGGTTAAATGCTTCTTTTTGGTTGGTGAGGAGTAATTACTAGTAGTTTGTATGTGGTTTATTTTTGGAAAAGATTCCATACGAAAGCGTGAAAGCTGTAATTATCATCAGAGGAAGAAAAATTTTAAATTAGGATTCTGGGAATATACATGCCTTTTCTCTTTTCTTTTTTTCTATTGATGGATCAAACCCAACCACTCTCCCCGCGCATTGTAAGCTGTAACTGCCAACTTGGCGCCAGAATCTTCTGTCGTGGGATCCACTTTTTTTCGCGGTCCCACCTTCCCGCCTCACAGTCGCATAAGCCGAACCTGGAAATGATCCGCTGCATTTATCTCAAAGAGCGGCACCGCCACTCCCTGACCACGTACTCCTTATCTCTTCTCCTCCTAGTCTGCATACTAATTATCTTAATTTTTTTTTAATTTTTTTTTGTCTTAAATTGTTTTAAAATAGAAATAATATACTATTATTATTTTAATAGAGTAATAAGGTTGTTTTAAAAATTTCAAACAAGAATCAATTATTGAACCCAAGACTTGAGTCACATACATGTGAAGTGAGGCAATTCGTCCAGCTCAAATTTTCAAACCAGTAATAATAATTTTTGCATAATAATGGGAGAAGAGTAAATTTACGTAATATAAATTGTTCTAGTTGTAGTATTATTTATATATTTAATTTTTTTTGCGAGATACTAGAATCCTTTCCGGTGACTAGAAAAGGTGGGATGTTTTTGTGAATAGTTAGTTTCTAAAGATAAAAATTGACAATTGCGGCAGGAGTAATAGCGACCGCATGTAGTTGTGCCCACGTCACTCATCTTTTTGAAAAAACTGGATAGAGACGTTTTCATGTGTTTACGTAAGAAAAAAACTTCGCAAAAGCCGGCCCCACATCCAGATGTATATTCTTAATTTCTTATTAATTCTTAAATCATCAAATTCGAAAAAAAATATACATACTCGTTAATTAGCTCTATTATTTTGAAAATAAGTAACTTTTTTTTTTTATTATTTTTTTTGACTTATTCTACCGGTGATATTGATGGACTATTATTGTGGTTTTTTCTGTTAGGGTGCTCCACCGTTCTCATTCCGGCAAGGGTGCTACAGACGCTTCAACAACACTTTAACACGGTGGGTACGACGTCGCCGTCCAACGCTCCCAGTGGTGGTTCTCCCGCCAACCACCCTTGGCGTAACGGTAGGCAACTCCTCCTATTTTATTAATGTCTTATTGGTTCTGTCACATGATGAATATTGTATCCAGACATATCCAGTTAGTACTACTACTTATTATCACTCTGACTACTTAAAATTTTAAACAAATAAATTGTCTTTGGGAATTTTTAATGAACAATTAAGCTCTAAACTGAACCGACAGTCAAGTCCGGTATGTAGATCGAAGAAATGGAAGTTTCCTAATCTGTATATATAAGCTAGTTGGTTCGTAGGATCGCATATTTTCATAGCCTCATTTTACCTGGATTTTCCTCGAGCTTTCCTGTTTTTGGCATGCAACGCAACGCATAAATATATGTTTGTTCACCTAGGAAATTAACACCGTCTCACTTTTTGAGTTACAAATACATCGAAAATGTCGTAATTCTTGTTTTCTTTTTTGTTTTTCAGATGTATTGGCCAGAATAAATGGATTGCTGTCGCAAAAAAGGGAGCACGCCGAGTTCCAAACTCGGCTTCCACCTCGACCGGCATACTCTGCACCGGAAACCACCAGTTATCACCCGGAGGTGTTACAATTACCTCAAGAATGGACTTATTGATCGGACAACGGCCGGCGGCCGGCCAACGAGTTAGGAATCATTCAAGCGACATTGGAGAAAGGCAAAAAAAAATAATAATAAAATAATAATAATAATAATAAGTGGATTGCACTATTGGAGATGAGGATGATGATGGTGATGGTCATCATAAAATAATAAAATTAAAGAAAGGGGAATGACTTTCTTGTGGTTTAAATAATTGGTCAAGGAATCTACATGTACACAAGTTTGAAATAATTGATGTATGGATATAGGAAGTGATATGATAGTGTGGGTAATAAGGTTTGAAAAAAGAAAAGGCGATTGATTAAAAGATCTCATTGGTTGGTCGTACTTGGTTGGATTGTGGTATTGAATTAATTATCAGTGTATTTCAGGGGTCGTGAATTGTGCCCGGATTTGCTAGAGATAGGCTATCTGAAAAGCCTAAAATGGGTTTAAATTTCATGTTGTGAAGTGATTGGAGGGATGTACAGATATTTTTCTTTTAGCCAATCCAATAAAAAAAAATTCATTCATTTCATTGTCTTTATTATATCAACAAACAATCAAAATAAATTGCAAAATCATTGTTGTATCTATGTCAACATCATAAGTCGGAAAATAAAATTATGGACTGCAGCCTAATGGATCTTTTACTATAAATAAACAGGCATCATGACTTCTAGAATTATGAATTCGCGACAGGTAAATACGTCTTGGTAAACTAATTTTATTAACATTTGTAATCAAGTTGATTGAAAAACTTGTTGGAGGTTCATCCAACACGATCGCTTAAGGACACGACAAAAATAATGAAAGGTTTATGTATGCCCTCATACGTCGTTGATGATAAAAAGCTTAATTTGAAGACCATTGAATTTTCTGCTGTCCTAATCCACCATGCATTATAAAGCCGTCAGTGAGAGGAATTACGTACCATTGGATGAGCAGTTAACATCTCCTTTAACTGCAAATACGACAATTCTGTTTACTTTTTTTTTTTGGGTTGCTGTTACATTAGAGTTCAAGTACGTAAAGGGGCCGGAAAATTCATCCGTTTCTGTATTCATCAAAAGGCATATCATTTTCTGAGGGAGCCCGTGAACGTATTTAATTAGTGCTTTGAATCACAGGACAAATAGAATACTTTTCCGTGTTGGTTAGGAATTTACGAGAAATATTAGTGTGAATGGTGTGTTTGATGATTTGATCCGTTATGGACATGCAATGTTTTTTTTTTTTTCCTTTTTCAAAATCACAAGTATGTCATTTTGCGTCTTTTGCCTCTCACGAAATTGGGTAAAACTTCCCCGGATACAACTTGTACACTCTGTACCGATTGTGGTATAATCGTGCGATACACAATATCTCAAAGTTTTTTTTTCTTTCTTTTTTTTTTTAATAACGTCAAGAATTTTATCGAAAATAAGTAAATTCACGCCACTACGATAAAACAACAAACTATTTGTCATAACTAGCCCACCTCAATAGAGAGAAACATATATACAAGCCTTTTTCAAGTTTAAGGGAAAATGATAAGATCGTCAAAGGAGTTCTGCTTATAAATTTAATGAGCTTAATCGGATCTGTCTACTTTTGCCTTGTCTTTTTGTTTTAGTATACTTACCATGGTTTTGTTGTTTTTGACTCATTTTTTGATCTTCCTTTCAATTCCTTTATCAGTTATTTTTTAAACATTTTATTTAGAAAAGCGTAAAGCATTTCAAGCTCGGCTCAAATGCCATATAACTAACAATCAATCAATAATGTCATAATAATAAAGATGCAAAATAGGAAAAATACAAATGGAGATCATGAATATCACCATTCTCACCGTGCATGCGCACCTGCGAATCTCAGTTTCATTTTAAAAAAATAAAAAAATAGAAATAGAAAATCGGTACGATCAAAATCATTAAAAAAAAAAAAAAAACTCTCCCTATCATTTGTAATCAATTACTCCCTCCGTCCCATAATTATTGTCCACTTTGCCCAAAAAATTTTGTCCTAAAATTATTGTCCAATTTGACTTTTTATGGATGAAGTTACACATTTATCCTTAATAAAAAAAATATTATCCAATAAAATCTTTGTGGTTAAACAATTACTTATATAGGGGATATCCGGTTGTTCAAGGTAAAATATAATTAAGTTTGACTAAAAATAAAATCTTTCATTTTAGTAAAACTGGACAATAATTATGGGACAGAGGGAGTAACTAGTAACAATCAAAATCTTACACTAACTTTTTTTGGACGAACATCCGAGTGTATTGGCGTCGCTCTTGAGATACACAATACATTATTATCAAAAACAATTTAATTCGCAGGGACCAAGTAAAAGCAAAGTTCGGCACATTTACTACAAAACAAGTGTTCGAAGCCCCAAGAGAAATAGATTAGAGAAACATGCCCCCGATATTTTCCACACATATATATCGTTCTTCACATTTTAGGACCATGCAAATTATTAAATTGTAACTCAGCTGAGATATTTTCCGATTGTTTCGTTCTGAACACATTTTTTTAAGAACCAAAGAAAAAGTTTCAACATGCTATATGTTAAAATTTTACTTCAAGAATAGTGAACAACAATAGTTGCACTAGATCAAAACACAAGAGGAAGAATTTATGGTTAAGACAAAAGAAAATTTTGTCTCCAAGTCACAAGTAAACTTGTTTTCCTTTAGACTAAATTCGCCCACTATACAGTGCAATTGTCTATGCGAATTCCCTATGAGATAAAATGGAGATCATGTTATTTCACGATGCACTTTAGTGAACCAACAACCTGATACAAGGATGAGAAATGTCATTGGAAATATTCCAAGTATTTGGTGATTTCATTATACACTAAAAATATTCAAATGATCCATTTTATAGAATTAGAGGAAACTCTTAAGGATTAGACGTAACCCTTGATTATGGTTCTAAACATAACTTTTCGTTAATGTCTTTTCATATGGAGTTCATAGACACAACCTATTAATTGTGTCTCTACAATATATTGAAAACACCCAATAGGCAAATGTCCCTATAATATATTGAAAATAACTCCAACACTTTACACTTATTTCAATGGAATCCTTCAAATGATTACTCAATTAAATACCGATGGCGACATTACTCTTTTTAGAACTTGGTCGAAATTTTGAGCCATCTGGACACCGGTTTAGTAGCATCGCTGCCATTGTGTGTGGCGGCAGTGAATGGTCGACCATTTTGTTTTTTGTTTTTTTTTTTTTTTTTTTAAATTTCACTACTTTTAATTTTAAGAAATAGGAGTATAATTTTCCCTTCGAAACGGGAAGAATAATAAATTTTACATCAAAGTAGTGATATAAACACCTTAGAGAATTTGATTGATAAATAAAATAAAAGGATGCATGTGCATGCGTCTGGATTGGAGCTTCACTACTGACCGACGAGAGTGGCCAATTACGGGTTGGCACCGACAAAAATCGAAACTATCTCTTCTCTCTGAAATGCAAAATGCGCTTTGAATAAATATATATCTGGTTGGGCAGTGGAAGCTGTAAAGTCATTATCAAACTGTGTGTTAAGCCATAGCTATATGTATATGTATAGCAGCATCTGTACCACACACGATTGCTGCTTTCCCCCAACAAAAACTAGGGGCCGTTTGTTTTTGCATTTTGGAAATTGATATGATATTATATATATATATATATATATATATATATATATATATATATATATATACACACACACACACACACTAATTGTCCTCATTATTATGCTGTTTTCATTTCCACACAGAGAAAGTATATTTGTTTATTAATCGTATACTAATCCTATTAATCATTACTATTCTGAACTGATCAATAATAGGTCTCGTCATTAGTTGAAAAAAAAATCTACTTAATGTATTGATACTAATTGTACAAGCAGTGACGTACTAGTTAGAAGGATAAACAGGTGCTGCCGTACCCTTTTGTTTTATTTTATAATTATTTTTTCATATGCTCCAAACACATTGCAGTGTTATTTTTTATTTATTTTTTTTTTTGAGAAGATTGCAGTGTTATTAGTTATTTTCTCAAATCTTGCACCTCTTTCGGGAAACTTTATTATTATCAGTGAGTACCAACAATATCACCAACATTTTTTTAAAAAAAAAAATTTAGTTGAGAATTTCGTTACGACTAAAATTGGTTAGTAGAGTCGACTTATAGAAGCTTATGGGATTCTACCTCAAAACCAATTGATAATGAGTGAAATAGCCTCTATGGACTTATATATTAATACCAAATCTCTCTTACCACGATGTGAGATGCTCAACACGACCAAGCTTGAGAGTTGAGGCGGCCGGTTTGTTCTTTTATTTTGTTTGGTAACAAAACCTGAAGTGCGTGCAATTTAATTAGTCGATTACCGTTACAACACCTTTTTCATGTCAATGATTTGGTCACAAAGCCTGAAGTGCGTGCAATTAAATGAGTTGGACATTCATGTGGTTCTCCCTCTTACAAAAGAGTTCACTCTTGTTGTATCGTTTTATAAATTATAAATTAAATTTTTTTCCAAGACAAACGGTTATATGATAATCTTCCCCACTCTTATCAATAATTTCACTTCTACATTTTTATCAAATAAAATTAATTAACCATTAAAATTGAAAAACGGAATTTGATTCCAAGCGATCTTTTCGTCATCTTCATTTAGAAAAATGAGTGCAGGTCAAATAGAATGTTAATGGAGTAGCAAACTAGCAAGGCCTACTTGTTTCTCTTTAAGGACATTTTGCTGCGTTTTGTTCTTCTCTTCTTCAAGAAATTATTGGGCAATAACCTGTCATTTTCCATTGAAGAAATTGTGGGCTTTCACCGGACATAAAGATGCTTTTCAAAGTCAAACGATGAAAAAGAATCTTCTTTTTTAAATTTTTTTTTTTTTTTGAATCTAACATTAGAATCTTTTTTTCAAACGAAATGGATTGAGTGATTGCTTTCATTTACTCTAGAAACTCACAGCTAAAAAATTCCCAAAAAAAAGAAGAAAGAGATTAAGAAGAAGAAGAGAAGACGAAGACCGCCAATGTTTTTCCAAAAAGCAAAGTAATTTACCATCATAAAATATTGATCTTGATGCTATTAATTTTTTATAGATGCAATAAAGTTTGAATTTCAACCTTAATTAATGTTTAGACTTAAACGAAAATCTGCATATGAGCTAAATTAAAATTTTAACAATGAGGGTCCCATTAAGTGCTACTCCCTCCGTCCCATAATTATTGTCCAATTTGCCCAAAAATTTTGTCCCAAAATTATTGTCCAATTTGACTTTTTATGGATCAAGTTATACATTTGTCCTTAGTAAAAAATATTATCCATAAAATTTTAGTGGTTAAACAATTACTTATGTAAGGGTATATCCGGTTGTTTAAGGTAAAATATAGTTAAGTTTGACAAAAAATAAAATCTTTCATTTTAAACTGGACAATAATTATGGGACGGAAGGAGTATATAGGAACGTATAAAGGTTTGGGATTTATGTCCTTACTCCTTAGATGGCC